AGGTGGGGGTTTCCGTTAAGGAAGCAAAAATTATATAAAGTACACTGATTATAGACACTAGGTGAGGGTATCCGTTAAGGAAGCAAAAATTATATAAAGTACACTGATTATAGACACTAGGTGAGGGTATCCGTTAAGGAAGCAAAAATTACATAAAGTACACTGATTATAGACACTAGGTGAGGGTATCCGTTAAGGAAGCAAAAATTACATAAAGTACACTTATTGTAGACACTAGGTGAGGGTTTCCGTTAAGAAAGCAAAAATTATAAACTACAATGTTCCCCTTCTTTTGTTATTAAATCTCTAATGACGTCATTAGACGCTAATTGCACACCCTTGGTGATAATTAAGTCATTTAAGTGATTAAGTACTTATGTCTTTAAATTCAAAGCGCGAAGGCTTGACCTGTTAGGGGTACTCGACTCGCAATCTGCGGGTCACGGGTTCGAATCCCCTTCATCAAACATACTCGCCCTTTCAACCTTAAGGGCTTTTTTAATGTGACAGTCAATTCCCCAATTTGTTGGCTACATTAGAGACAACTAACTCGAGTATTCGAAACAAATAAATAAAAAGTAAAAATGTACCCTATTTCAGGTTTTTTATTACCCTTCTCGGACAAAAATCCTAAAATAAAATAGCCCATGTATACCGTCGGATAGATTCTAGTTACCATACCAAAAACTATGGTAATCGAGCCAACCAACTGTGTGTGATGGATGTTAATACACATATATAATGGATCATATTTTTGTAAAAGATACAATTTTGTAAGGTGGTAATTCTTGGAATTTCCGGTTTTCTAATTTGATTTGTTTTCGAAGTAGATCAACAAAATTATTTTCTTGATAATGTTACAATCGTTTCTGCTTTTCTAGCCCTAACTTCCTTGAGAGATGAGAACACGCTTGGCAACACTGTAATTGTTTATCAATCATAACTTCTACAAATGTAAAAAAATTTAAATAAATAAAAGCACCAAAAAGTAAGGACATAAGGTAGGAATGGGCGGGGTACATTACAATACTTGGTGGTTTTTGATACAATGTAACCTCAAAGTGGGTGTGGTCTCAAAATCCACCAACTGGTATAATATTATCCCGCCCATCCTTACCTTGTTGCCCCCCAGTGGCACAGCGGTATGTCTGCGGACTTATAATGCTAGAAACTGGGTGTCGATACCCGTGGTGGGCAGAGCACAGATAGCTCTTTGTGTAGCTTTGTGCTTAATTACAAACAAACAAACTTACCTTGTTTCCTAACTTTTTGGTGCTCTCATTCCTACTTCCTAAGTTTTTACTAAAAAATTTTTACACTTGTCTTATAGCTTTTTTTTTATACTAACTCTCAAGAGTTATTGGGCTGTAGCCTTATCCTTCTCATAACTGTTCTTAGAGCTATCTCTCGACATTTCGTTGCTTTTTCTGATATCTTTGCTATAGTTTTTCTTTCATCTAGCCAGGATGGCAGCTTTTTCTTTGGCTGGATTAATGGCTAAGGTGGTTGTATCGCATATTCAGATTACTATTTCTAACCTTGTCTCTATTCTTGCAGTAATGCTCTCTTTGCTGGTACAAAGACTTTTTAAGGTTTTCAACATGAAATTTTCTCCTATCCTCTCGTTTTGTTTCCTAGAAAGGCATTTTTTAAATCACACTGTTTTAAGTACAACCTCAGATGTCAATAGGTCACTCTTAGTTTGAAAACAATGCAAAGGTAAGGTATACAACTTATCGCTCTTCTTTTAGGTCCAGACCTCGGCAGTGATAGCATTGGTCTTCAAGTAGGAGACTCACGTCTTAGACACCGACTGCTATGATAAAATTGCTTTGTCCAACACCGAATTCTCG